GTCCAATTGCCTTAAATAAATAATAATAACAATAATAATAATAATGATAATAATAATTATTATTATTACTATTATTATTATTATTATTATTATTATTAATTAAAGGGCCCTCTCATCTTTGTCCTTGCACCGAAGTTTTACCAGTCTTAAAAACGCGCCTGAGTGGACACACTGTGTTGCACACAGTGTCGTCTGTATACGTAGCTGAAAGGCTCCCGTTTATAAATTTATATAATTCGACACAGAACAAAAGTTCCATTAGACGTCTATTGTTAGTCAATAGCTTCATGCGATATATCTAATAGACGTCTAATAGAATTTCTGTTCTGTGTGGATTATATCGTTATATATGTTGTGAGAATTGTGCTGTTCGAACAAAAAGTGGAAGTACCGTAAATGAAATACGAAGATGTTTGCGTAAGCAACTTTTCTTCATGGTTAAAGCAAAAAAAATGGTCATGTCATTCTTCCGCAAAATTTATATACGCACAATGCAAATGTCATAGTTACATATATACATACTAAAATGAATTTATTCTAACGTTCAGCTTTAATGCTGTATATGTATGCGCAAAAAATCATTAATACTTTTTTTGCTTGAGTTGTAAATTTGTATAAACTTTTGTTTTTTTTTTTTTTTTTTTTTGCAATAATATAAGCGTGAGGTTTTTAAAGCCAATTAATTCGTCGATGAATTAATTGACTTTTTACAGAGCAAATCTGCAATTCATGCACAATGCAATTAATCTATAAGTTATTCAAGAAACTCGCTTGTGTAACTTAATATGCTATAAATTGAGGCACAAGTATTTTAAACTTTAATACTTGATACTTTAATACTTTGATTAAAAATCAATTTAAAAAACTTGTTCTCTCTGCTGTGTGTAAGAAAGAGATAGATAGATAGATAGATAGAAAGAGAGAGAGAAAAAAGAAGAAATGCTAATATAATACAAATAAGACATTGTTTGCGCATGCGCAACATTATGACAGAAACTACAGGAACGTACACGTAAAATGATGCAACTTAGCGGACTCTCAGTTACAAATGAAAATGAAGACAAAATAGATATTTGTGTATATTTTTGTTTGATGTACAATAGACTCACAGGTAGACTATAAGAAAAAAAAGACTAAAACTTTTTCAGTCACGCGTAGTTAGATGAAAAAATATTGAAAGGATGAACGAATTCTCTCATTCTACAAGAAATAAAATAATTTACACCGCATGCAATAGAAAAATATGTTGTTGTAAACTGAGTTACGCGCTTGAAGCCGATGAAACATTCAATTCTTGGCTACTATTGAAGTAGTAGAGACAATGAAATAGAGATAATGAAGAATTGAAGTAGTAGAAACACACTGGCCTCGCTTTTTATTCATACAAAGGTACCTTCCTGACGCTGATATCGCTGCGCATACACAGAGAAAAGTGTCGCAACTCTGTATATCCACCACATTCTACTTGGTAACAAGATTGTGACAGCGTACATTTATGTACTGATAGCTACATAAGAAACTTAAGTGTTTAACGCAAAATACGCAATTAAGAAAATAATGGAGGTAAACAGTTGGTACAATGTTATTATATATAAGTGACATAAAACATCTAATAAAATTCAATCATAAGATTTTATACTTTCTACTTTTTTTTAGATTGAAATTGTATCAGCAAAAAGCTCGAAGCCATTAGCTAATATAAATGTGAGTAAAAAAAACTAGAAATGATTAATTAATGCATAGATACACATATGTATATGTATATGTACATATGTGAATATAATTTACAATAAAATTTTATAATGTGATATTTCTTTTCTCACAGGTACATCCAACTATTACAATAGGAGAAATAAAACAACAATTGCATAAATTAAAAGTGGCGCCTTATGTTCAAAGACAGAGTTTAAGATTGGAAGCTAAAGGAAAAGCACTGTCTGATTCAGAAACAATTAAATCTTTGTCACTGAAAGGAGGTGAAAAATTATATTACAAAGATCTTGGCCCTCAGATCGGATGGAAAACAGTATTTCTGATAGAATATGCAGGACCCTTGGCAGTATATCTGTGGTTGTATCAACGACCGTGGTTCTTTTACGGAAATGTTAATACCAACAATTTTCACTACGTAGCTAAGTAAGTTATTTTGGTATTTAATTCTCTGATTGTAGAAATAACATTTTTTCTCTACCATATAAAGTATCTCGTATAACAAATAATTTTTTTTTAGCTGGGCAGCAATAAGTTGGACAATACATTATGCAAAACGTCTTCTAGAAACTCTATTTGTTCACCGTTTCAGTCATGCAACAATGCCATTGCGTAACTTATTTAAAAATTGCTCATATTATTGGCTCTTTACTATGTATGTAGCATATCATATAAATCATCCATTATATACAGCTCCTAATCCACTCCAGTTTTACATTGGAGCAATGATATTTGTGTTTTGCGAGCTGGGTAATCTCAGTATTCATTTAGCGCTCAGAAATTTGAGACCGGCAGGCACTACAGTCAGGAAAGTTCCTATGCCAACTGGTAATCTTTTTACTGCTCTTTTCAATTTTGTCTCTTGTCCCAATTATACGTACGAAGTAGGCAGTTGGATTGGATTCACTGTAATGACTTCATGTTTGCCAGGTACGTACACACATGCGCCCACACACACGCACACACGTGCGCGCAGAGAGAGAGAAACACTTCATATATTCAAGTTCTTGTTTCTTGACATTAAAAATGTACACGTAAACAGTCAATAAATTAATTACTACCAAATTTTGTTTTCTTTTTCAGCTGGTCTCTTTACGTTTGCCGGTGCATATCAAATGACCGTGTGGGCATTGACTAAACACAAGGCATACAAGAAAGAATTCTCGCACTATCCAAAAAATCGAAAAGCCATTATTCCGTTTATTATTTAAATAATATATATATATGTGTGTGTGTACGTGTGCAAGGATATGTACAATATTTTTCCAACTACTGGTAATTCTGGGTAATTTATATATTTTTTGTTATTGCATTTTCTTCGGATGTGTATTTTTGTTTTGACAACTATCAATATAATAAATAATATAAGTAAAAGATATATATTTTTATAACGCTTAATTCGTATATCCGCAAAAAACTGACTAAAAATTACACATTTATTCTCAATACAAACTTAGATTCTGTTTTATCTCTTTGCAAGCAATTTTGCTTTCAACTCTAACGTCTAATATCTTTTTTTTTTATTAAAGTAATCTGCTGATATTCTTTTATTTGTGTTATATATTTCTCCTATATAATTCTTCATATCCGCGACGCTTGTTCTAACATTTTTAATGTTTTAAAGATTCTTATCTCCTTGAGTTAATCCTAGAATACTTTTCATGTGTAAAATGTTTTGTTAGACTCTTTGTGATTCTTTTGTTAAAACGTTCACTCCTAGAATGGATTTTTTTCCATTTTCTTCAAATCTATCTTTTTTTTTTTCAAATCTTTATTAAGTATCAGCGGACGATCTTAGGACAATTGTGCTTAGAGATATTATAGTCTCCGTTCTAGATAATTTTTCTGTTTGAATTTATATATCGAACGTCCAAATCCGTTTTGCGACTATGTAAACATTCATCGTTTATAATTGCGTTCGGGCAGTCTATATCTCACTCAATGCCATTCTCTGCGTTATGTTAAAATTTTATGTGCAATAATACTACATGAAATTCTATCAACTTAACGCAGAGAATGGCATCGAATTAAGTATAATAGCGAAAACAGTTCTATAAACAATTTGAGTCACGTGATGCTTTGCTGCCGCAGCATGTTACAAATATGAAAAGGTGCTTTAAAACTGCGTTCCATTTTCACGCATATGCGCGCATTTATCTATAGTACACGTGACTTATATGTAAATGCATGCATATGTGCGAAACTGAACGCAGTTTAAAACGTGCATTTTTGAATAGGTTTACGCGTATAACACATGTAAAAAAAAATGTCATTTTTTTAATTGCAATTATCTCAATTTTGGGACGGTCAAACATTTAAAAGTTTCACGAGCGTTTGCAAAACGTTTTGCTTAATACGTGGTTTAAATTTGGAAGAGTTGGCGAGAAATCGATTCTATACGCGATTACTGTCTTAAAACTCTGATTGTTCGATTCGGTACGGTTTGTAATTGTGTGATGCGTAATAAAAGCATTTTACACATTTGTAAATTTTGCTTGATCTGGTGATTGAAAGCTGTAAGTTACGCGTAACGCGTAACGCTAACGGAAAATTTTTTATTCTTTTTTAATACATCGCATTGTGATAATATAAAAAATATTTTACTTGTGTAACGATAAACAAGATACAAAAGAAATATAATATTAAGAATTTATTATTGTTTTTGATGATAAAAATATCTTGAGTGTGTGGTGTTTACGTAAAAAAGTGTACGTAAGATACCATACTTTTGTACTCAAAAAAGTATAAAAATTTTTACAAAATAATACTATAAGTAAAGTCTTTTCGATCTGTAGTTATCTTTTTGTAAGATAAATCTTTTTCGATTACTGAGACTTGTTTGATTTAGTGATCGTTTTGTTGTTTTTATCGCGCTCTTATGTCTTGTTTTACTTTTATTATTATTATGTTAGATTTGTGTGATCCGTTTATATTGCTATATAACGCTTTGATATCCGATTGTGTCTGCATAGCCAATTTGTGAAGCGTACCAATGATCGTAGTATAAAAAAAAATAAATAAATAAAAAAGATTGCAAAAGATTTTGTCTTTCAGTAAGTACTACGTTTGTTATTGCAATCTTTTGGTTAAGTGAGATACTTTATATCTTCGTATATATTTACAGTGTATACATCTCTAATACATTAAATATTTAATCTTTTCGGTACAACTGGTATATTGGCTTGCAGTGTTAAAAAAAAAAAGAAAAAAAATATGGCTGAAATAACACAACATAAGATTGTTTATTGTTCTATGAAAATTACGGACATATTTGTATATATAACTATCACGTGTGATATAAAACTAGAAATGAAATTACAAAAGATATACAAATAAATAATAACTATCACGTATATAACATATAATAGAGTTGCAATAGAGTTAATATGTATATCACGTATATATACATATATATTATATAAATATATTATAACGAGTTATTATTTATTTAGTATATGTTTTCTCTATTTTTTTTTTTTTTCACATACAATGATAATTAATAAAATTATTTGTTAAAACGTGTTTGATTAAAATGTTTATTTAGAATCAGTTTGGTGAGACGCGCGCATATATCCGTAATATATCGCAATGTGAATGACAACTTGACAAATTGGTACCATCAATCAAGATCGTATTAAAAAAAGTTTAAAATATGAAAAATTGATCGATTTTTCATATTTCATCTATATAACATAGCAACAACAAAAAAATTAATTAAACTTCTTAATCTAGTCAACATTGAATATATAATCCACATATATGGTAACACCTATGGTAAATTCTCTATGCTAATTCGTCCGAACATAGTTTTCTTTCCTCTTCTACTCGTTGTCGAGTACGATTAAAAGCCTCAGTCTTCAAAAAGTCAACGGTTTTGTATACCGTTGTACTTGGCGCTGATTGCGCCGGTGGTAACGTCGAAGAATTGAAGCTCTCTGTCTTATCCAAATCGAGATCCAAATATTGCAGCACCACCAGTCGACGATTAGACGCAGGAACAAATGTATTGCGGTCTTGATAAAAGTATATCTATAAATCAAAATTACATGTAAGATTAATAAAGTCATGCACTTGTGTGTACGTCACGCACGCACGCACGCACGCACGCACGCACAACAGTTTAATGAGATATTTTTTCAAATTAGTCTACAAACTTCTTCTTTTTCCTCGAATGCGTTATTGTCTTCGTCCGATGTCGAAAGATGACGTGACGGAATTATATGTGTCGGAGGCGTAGGACTTGGCGCCGCTCGCATTTTTCCTCTTCCAGGAGGTGTTGCTAATTGTAGATGGAGTGCTACACGATTATTACAAATTATTACGCGATTGTTTTCATTATGTGTTTATTTATAAAAATTGTATAGCTTACCGTCCACTGGCGATCTATTTAACGGTGGTTTCAACTTTCTATTAATGCTCGGCGGTTTGATCGAAGAGCATTCAGTAGAGTTCGCTTCGTGCACTGTTGGATTCGGAACTTGGTCGTTGTTGAGAATTGACGTCGAGTCGCTAATTTTTCTACCTGGTTTCAGTTCTCTATGTACCATCGGCGGAGGCATCGTGCTCAAGCAAGCACGGCTAAGAGGAAACTGTAGATTCACGTAAGTCGCGGTGACCGAGTTTTCAGAATGCAAACTCGGCGACTCGTCCTCCTGGAAGTCGTATCGAAACACATTCTCCTCGTTAACAGTACTCGGCGCGGCGTTTGAGTACAAATGCTTCGACGATTCATCAACTTCCGTGCTGCTCTCGACTGTTTGCAATGCTTGAGGTTGATGAGATCTGGGGAAGTCATATGATTCGTCAGTTACAACACCCGTCGTCATTGTGTTAATAAGCGTTGGTGGCACTGGCGTTGCAGGAGTAGTCGGTTTCGAACTCTCAATAGCACCATCTAAATTTAGATAATTGTGACTAGAGCTCTCAGATAACATACGAGGCGGTTTTGGCGGTCTAGGAGGTGCTGGTATCTTCTCTATATTTGGCGACATCGAGGAATTGATTTTTAATTTGCCGAAACGTTTTCTTATACTCCAAGAGCATATTTCATTATCGCGTAAACTACGAGATGACCGTATATCACTTCCTGTAAATGATTTTGTTAACAAATTTTAAAGATACGCAAAAATACAGATCAAAGCATGCGTTAAACATTTACCCGTGGAAGGTAATGTGTTCCATGTCGCGTTAGATACAGGCGTTGACCATTCGTCATCAGTAAAGACGCTCTCGGCGTCCGTCGTGGTGGGTGATCGTGGAGGTGAAGGTGCTAGTCTTCTCGGAGCGTCATAATGTTCAGGTCTTTGTTCCAAGTTCGAACTCAGAAAGTTAGTATCATTAAGTCGACGACCAGAAATGCACTCGCTGATAGGAATATATGGACCAGAGATCGTACTAGTTGGCGAAGTTGGTGGAGATTCTTGAGACTCATATTGAAACACTAAAAAGATTTGTATCATTTTAATATAATTATATGTATGTACACATACGTGTGTGTGTGTGTGCGTGTGTACAGGATGTCTGAAAAGTTTTGATACAACCGAAATGTGGTAGATTGGATCAATCCGAACAGAAAAGCCATGTTTGCAAAATTCACCATAGTTGAGATATTAATCAATGAATGCGAACCAATGAACGCATGGAAAGCGATTCGAACTCTGTAGATGTGTGTGGATTAGCTAATCTCAATAAACTATGTTACATGCTATTCGCTTGTTTGCTTCGCCTTTTGGTATTTTTCAGACACCCTGTATATATATATATTATAAATGATCATATATTTTATATGATCATATAAGATAACAAAAAAGATATCAGAGTTGGTCACTTTCTTTGTTGTTCCTCATCTTGAGTGTAAGCTTTTAGACCGCATACTTGACATACTGCATCTACCCATTTGTTCATTTCACCTTCATTCTCGGCTACTAAATAATAAACTCTCTTAGGAGTTTTAACGTTGAACATATATTGATATTTCTGTTTACGGTTTTCAAATCGAAGACCAGCATCCACCTGCAACACATTGTTCATAAATACTTATAGTTAAAAAGGAAAGAATAGAATAATCATAAAAAACCTTGCAAGAAACCTGTTCACATTGATCCAAGTCAATACGACCCTTAAGTTTACGACACTGTTTGTCCGTGAAATACTCCAAGAAGTACTGGCCAGGCAGCTCACCACTATGACGAAGAGCAAACCACCGTTTTCTCCACCGCTATTGTTTATAAAACAAAAAAGTTTGTGTTGAAACTCAAGTATTTACAATTAACTATATTATTTATAATATTTTTATTAACCATAAATTTGATATAAATATTACTTGAAATTTCTTTGTTCAAAGTATGAGTTTTAATATAATTGAATATATAGAAAACCTTGTATAATTTACTTGTAAAATTAAGTCTGCGATAGAACTTTCAGCTATGTTAAATAAATATTTTGAGAAGCATTATTCCATCTTTATTTTTTATTATATACAGACAGAAATTTAAAGAAAGACAGAAAAAGATGCTTTAGAGCACTTGTAGAGCACAGCTTGGACTTTATTCTAGGTCACGGTACATTTATTGCATAAGTAAACAGTAAACTGTTATTGTCTAAGATAAGCTTGAGATTTCTATAAAAGATTAGAAAAAAAAAAGCTACTTCAAAATCTATAAATTTCAAACCTCTATTCGGGATAGATGAGTCAATGCTCAACTTTTTAAATGATCAAAACCAGATAGACATAAAACTAAAAAGCTTTCTGTGATTTAAAAATATAAATACTCACAGCTCTCCAGAATTTTAAGGGTGGCGATTTGATGAGCCATCCTTCGTAAACAATCTCTTGAGAGGTGGTAGAAGACGACGTTCTAAACACTTCCATTTCTTTTTCTCTTATTCTTCTCTGTTTCCTTTTCTTTTTTTTTACACATATACGTACACACACACACTATCTTTTTACTCTCTTGCTTGATGACGGTGGCAATGTATAGAACGGGTCGTCCTTCGATCACTCCCTATTTTCAACTTTTCGAGGACATTGTTTAAGAAATGCAAGAAATTCTCTTTAACACCAGATCGGGTATATAAGATGAAAGACAAACTATACTTACTCACAACTACATAAATGCCCCATGTACAATAGACAACAGGAATTCGCAGAATTGGCGCGAGGGTCCGAGGGCAAGGGGAATAACTTTCCCTCCAGTAGCGCCAACGAGCCACAACCATAGACATGGGAATAACGAGACGGAGAGCAATGAGGTTTTAAACCTTTACTTTATTAAACCGTCATTATTTCACCTACAGCGCTAAACAAAATGTCAAGACAAAAACCGACAAGAACGGTGTTCGCTTAATTAACAAACGTTAGCCAAGATAAACGTTACTTCCTTGGATGTGTTCCAAATTTACTGCCAGCACTGCAGGCAGGTATATGTCGTGTAGAGACCCTGTATACAAGGTTCAACGAGATAACAGGACACCCATGAACGAAAACGCGTCCGTTCTGCGCATCTCTCCTACCCAGAAAGCCCACTTCGCAGTGCTGTACAAGCGCTCGTACGGTCTTCGGCGGGTGTATATTTCATCCACTGAAACCCTAAACTCGGGCCTGAACGTGTTCCATCCATGTTTACGGCACTGAGTAGCGGCGGGGCGATATCCCCACTTTGAGACCGCTTTTCCTCCCCTATGTTGCCAATAATGTCCTATTCTCTCATTGAACCGAGTATAGTCTCTCTCTCGTGGGCTGAATTAAGGGGCTGCGAATCCGGCGGTCCTGAATCCGCTCGTCATCTAAAGATTTTTTTCTGGGCTGATCTCCTTCAGCCGATATTTATCTCATCACGTGTACCGCAGTCTCAGGATGGCGTATGGGCCATTTAGAATCAACCAATCAAAGCTCTCTAGAACAAGAAGCAGGGATGATAAACAAAAAGCTGGATTGGTTGATTTTCTTATGTCTTATGGGTTGTGCAAAAGTCTCTGCTTCGGCCTTTAGTCACGCTTGAACTTTGAACACGAGTTCCGACACAGATGGGCATACCCGCTGTGAAAGACGGCCGTGTATCGCGTGGTAGAGGTATAACAAACTACACAGTTGGAAGAGAAAGAGAATGTGACCCGCAAAACTCGTAGGTACGGTTATGGGGGTGTCAAAAAAATGACATTTAAAAACAATTGAATAACTGTCGCTTTATGTATTTTGTCAATTTATCAAAAATAAATGAAAACATACGAGATATATGATGGTATTTAACGTTTCCCATAACACAAACCTTAGTCTTTTTTTACTTTATTAAAAATCATGTTTTATTTATCGTAAGTTATCTTTTTAACTTAAGAATATGTGTATATATAATGTATATATATATATATATGATAATAATATTTAATACATTGTATATATATTAATATCGTACACGTGATGTAGAAAAATGAATTTGTATCTTGCACAATTTGCGCATAAAAACAAATTACTTAATATTATGATAAAAGACATTGCTTTCGTAAATTGTCCTTAACATCTACATTGTTTTAAAAAAATTTATACTATGCTTGACGTCAAAAGTCTTGAATTTTCTGGTGTTTTCTCTTTAAGCGGAGCATTTTGTACAGGATTTCTTGAATATATAACAACGGCAAAACTTACCATAGCTATAGAAATAACAGTATTTGTGTTAATAGGTATGCCAAACAAAATCCAACACAACACCGCTGTAAAAATCAATTCCATCGCGCTAGCAAAGGTTTTCAATATAGAGTTTAAGGCTTTTAGAAAAAAACTTGTTATTATACCAACTAATGCATTATTTATCATAATTAATATTACTTTTGGTTGCAGAGACGCATTGATACTAACGCTACTAAATGTATTGATTTCGAATGTACTTAATAAGATAATCGCTATAATATTGCAGATAATACTGTCAATATACATAAATATATTTTGTACAAAAATGTCGATCTCTGCACCTTGCTTTTTAAGCAAATATTCGTTATATACACCAGCTAAGCAAGAACATGTTGTCTGTAAAAATGAAAAAAAAAAAAAAACATTTTTTACAATTTGATCATACACATTTTAGTCATTTTTAGTCTCAACAAAAACTTTATGTATTACCTGTATAAGAATAAAACCCAACGATATATTTACATGAAATTCTTGATTAAGAACTTGAACATTAAAATGCTTTATCATACAACCTACTGTCAGAATCAACAGTGAGAACCATTGTATACTAGATAGCTTTTTGTTGAAAATAACCTAAACAGAAAAATCAAGTTTTATATAAATATTATATTAGTTGTTATTATAAGTGTAAATATAATTTTCACACAAAAACTTACATACCTGAAATATGATTCCTGTTAACACAACACGAAGTTGAAGCAAGACATAATAACTTGTAGGATCAAATCTAGCTAAGTTAACAAAAGCTAGATTGTTATATAAACAATATAAAAAAGCTGGTATCATGTATAATAACAGCACTGAAAAAAAATAAAATATATATATATTTTTTTTTTTTAGTTCCTTCTGTATCTGAATTGCAAAAAGCCAGATGTTTACAACATGAGTTTCAAAAATATTTCATTTTTTCTCAATCAAAAACCCCTTACCTGTTTTATACTTCTTTATCTCGTGGAAAAGAGTTAGAATATTATTGCTGAAAATCAAAACAAAATAAATAAATTTATATATTAGAAATATTTCAGATGACAAGATGTAGAAATTAAATGTGTCGATTGCCTTGCATACTTTTTACAGTAAAGTACTGTAGATATAATTAATTTTAAAAATTCTGTCATCAACACAACTGCTACAATATTATATTCATAATAACCACTTTTCTGAGACCATGTCACAAGAATACCTGTGACAAAACATTATGCGTGTTATTTTGTGTTATTATATTTCCACGAGTAATGACTATAACATTTAGAAATACAGATTTAGAAAATAGGTAAATTAATATAAATAATATTTTTTAAATAATATAAGAAAAAACAAAATTAAATAACCATAAACTGTCATAATGTACCTTGATTTACAAAAAGAGCTATGTAAGAAGTGAAAATGACAGGACTCCATCTTCCTGGAAATAATTCGCTCCAATTTATTCCTCCCATTTTTTTAGTTTTTCCTTAACAAATGCGGTTTAAACAATTTTGATCGTCTCATCATTGACATCTACCGTATCACGAATACACTCGAATGCACATCAATGTAAGGGTTGCGTTTCAATGTTTACTGCCAATATTGAAATACATGGCTGCGTTCAGAAATTCACTCATCGGATAGATTCATAGAGATATAAAGACTAGATAGAGTGCGCGAGTTCTATAATCGCACACGTACGATTGGACACGATAGGACTACCGAGTAGCGGCGGGGCGGTATCCCCACTTTCCCTTTTCTATGCGCGAGTAGTGTCCTATTCTCTCATTGAACCGAGTATATATAGTCGAAGTCTCTCCTCAGCTTGGAGAAGATAGGGAACGCGCAGTTTATTTTGTTTTATTGTATGTCTATCGACGCTGCCCTCGGTGTTACAAGTCTATCAACAAAAACAATTCCTACATTGGCGTGTGGACTAACTTAGTCTTCTGAGCTATTTTGGCACTAAACCTAATCTAACCATTAAAGGAGCATAAATTCTTCAAAATCTGTTGGAGAAATAGTAACTTTTATAAAATAGAATCATGTCTCTTTTTCCAGCTTATTCGAGCGATAAAACTGAATTAACGAGTCACAGCAATGCAGGTAATTTTAAATTTCTTCAGTTGAGTAGTGCTTATCTAATAGCGTTAGATGATAAAGGAATTTTTATGTGAAATTAAATATTACGGTAAATATAAACATTTTATAAGTTTTTTTTTAATGTTGTTATACTAAGTACATTTTGTAATATAAAGTTTATGAATTATTTGTTTCTTTTTTCATTCTAGATGCTTCCACCGAGTGGTTATCAAATTCAAGTTTTTGCACAAAAGTACCATGCCACAGCAAATCTTTTGATTATTCTTCTTCGGATTCTTCCGCTAGTGAAAGTGGATCTTTACATGATGTGTCTAAAGTGCAAAGTCAAGTTTGGTGTACCACAACTTCTTCAAATACAAAGACACACGCAAAGCAGAAGGAACTGAGAACTGATAAAAAACACAAGAAAAGAAAAAAAAACCATGTACATGAAAGCAAACACAAGCCAGAATATGAACAAGATGTTAAGAATGTATACTTTGAAGATAAACACAGAGATAAAGGAAATAATATAGATACAAATTATTCTAAAAGATCAAGACCATTTTATGATATTAGTACAAGATCTATTGGTTTTATCAATCACAAACAACCTAAAAAAGATGTATTTCAGAGATATTATTTAAAAAATATTGATCTTGTTGAAGCATTGAAAAAAAAAGATAAAGGATGTAAAGGAATCATAGGGAAAGAAACTTCAAAAAGAGATGAAGAGACAAGTAAAAGTTCATCTTCATGGTGTAAGAATTTAGAGGATGAACAAAAAAATAAAATTCAAGAATATAATGAACATTTAAAAGAGGACCCGCACAATGTGAAACTTTGGCTGCAATATATTGACTTTCAGGTATATATTAAATAAATTTTAATTTAATAATGTTGGTTTTGTTCATAAAATAACTAAAGTGATATTAAAATAAATTTATTAGTGACTATATTTTAAAAAACTTAAAATATTTACTTATAGGATACTTTGGTTCAATATCAGAGACATCAATTAGCTAAAAATATATACCGATCATTATTATTGAAAAAGTTATCTATTGTGGAAAAGGCACTAGAAAAAAATAAAGATTCCAAAGAATTATTAAAAGTAAAGTTACATTGCATGATGGAATTAACACCTTCTGATGAACTTTCTAAGGAATTAGAAACACTAGTTCATAAAAATTCAGACAATATTATGTTATGGCAACATTTTATGATGGTCACACAAACTTCAGTTGCAATGTGTAGCGTACCACGTGTGTTGGAGTTGTATTCAAAATATTTCCACGTCCTAAGGAAGCATTCCCATATGAATGCTTCTGTTTATGATGCACAGCTGCTGTGTAAGTTAACATTTAAATAATATTTTAATTTCATCGTATTATATGTATTAACTTTTAATACTTGTACATTTTATTTAGACATGATATATGAATGCTTAACTTTTCTAAGACATACAGGATTATGGGAACAAATGATCGAAACAATACGTTTAAATCTGAATTTAAATCTGGACTTAGACAAGAAAAGTTTATCATTTCAAGGATCTATAGATGAAAAGAAATTAAGTAAGTACGTAACGTTATCTCTTTTAAACACCTATGTGTATATAATATATTGTGCTACACTAGTGCTAAAGTAGTTTGTACAGAATACAGGGATTAGAGAAAAGGCTTGTGTTTCATGGCATTGTTGTATCCAAACAACTATTGCTTTAGTAAGACAATAATATCGTTTTCTAGTTGAAATGGAAGAAATGATATTGATGTCACGTTTACCGCTCAATCAATTGTGGCAAAGAACAGAATCCTTAAGAGAGCATTGCCATTGGATTAGCGTCAGCAGAGAAGAATTAGATTTAGTGGGAGATAGTCGAAGATTTATTTTACCAGAAGATGTAGCAGACTTTGTTCATCCAGTTCTTTCTCGTAACTCAAATTTTCAAATGGCTATCTATTTTCTTTTATGTCTAAAAGTACCACTTCTACCTTGTAGAGATTACTATATAAAAGTAAGTGAAATCTTTTTTATTCTATAGTTGTAGATGCTTGAAGTATTTACAACTACATATAAAAATAAGAAGAATTAAAATATATGCGAAATTCACAGTTCAAGAAATAAAATAAATACAGTTAAAAAACTAAAAGCAAATACAACAAATTACGCATTTTTATATAGGAGTTATTAATGGAAGAAGTTCATTGGGAAGTTGAGTCTCTAGAAGTGTTGCTTCCATTCATGTGTCCTATGATAGGCGAAATGACTGCTCACGAGCAGAGAAAAGAAATGTTGAAGGATGTTCTTCAAGGATGTTTAACATCAGGACCTCAATATCTCAAGTTTCATCCGGCGCAAGAACCGTATCTAGATTTTGTACGTAAAATATTTCATACAATTGCGGAAAGTTTACCATCGCTACAACGAACAAGTATATATGTCTGGTGGTTACGATTGGAAAGGCTATTGGTTTTTTTAAGCAAAGATGAACCCTTAAAATATGATAACAAGTAAGAAATTTTCTTTATATATATATAATGTAATTGAGAGGTGCTATTTTGTATAAATTATATTTGTATGCACATTTTACAGAAGAAAGAGACTCAGGACAACAATAAAGGAGTTTTTAAAAAAAGATGAAAATAGAAATAACTTATATTTTTATAAAGAATACGCTTTGATAGAATTGGAAATGGGCAGATTCAGCACTTGCATGAATATTCTTGAGACTGCCATTCAATCTCAAGGAACGTGCCCTTCTGCCATCACTGATTTAAATACAAGAGCAGCGCTTTTCAGCGTGTACAGAACATTCATTGAATGTCTGCTTGATATTAGAACGTACAATGAATCACATAGACAATGGGCATTAAAAGTTTTTGGTCAAATGATATCTGGCAAAAGTGAAGATCCAAATTTGCTAGTCGAAACTTATCTTCGTTCATGTGTAAAAGAGTTTTTACAAACGCCTTATGATGAAAATAAAAAGGATATTTTCTTTTTATCGAACTTGGAGTGTGACGCGATTGTATGCTGTGCATACTATTTGTACATCAGAGATGACGATATTCAACCTGTTATCGAGATACTGACAAATTGTATTGATCATTTTGAACGTTATTCTCATTCTCAGGTATTATCTCACTATTGTGTCATTGTATTTGTATACAATTAATTATACTTACTGTATATAACTTACTGTAATTAATCTCAGAATAAACTAATTATTTTAAAATTATTATATGTTACAGGAAATGTTATATGAAAGTCAAATTGCAATTTTGCAATTGCATTACGAGAAAACTAAAACTTCACAGACTGCATTGAAAGAAACATTGAGTAAAGCTTTAAATATATATCCAAATAATTTTTATGCTCTTTCCGTATTTGCTAACATAGAGGTAAGAGAAATATTTCAATACTCTGTAATTAAGTGAATAGCACAATTTATTGTGTGATATAGATATATTAACTTAGAAAAAAAAAATTAAATTTATAACGTAATTAATGTTGCAGAGTGAATTACCAACTTGGAGATTCAATAGCAGAAATACGAATATTGAGTTATGGCGAGCTATGGCAATGTGTCTGGCTGCTCGCAAACGTATCAGTTCTTTAATGAAACTTGGTCATACAGATGCTATAAATGCTACATTAAATAAATTATTATCCTTTCATCAAACACTTTCTACGTAAATGTCACTTAAATAAATTTTTATTAGAATATATATTATATATATTATATATATATATAATGTATATTTTATAAAAATGTGTGTGTATGTAACTGTGCACACACACAGTGTAATATATTTATACTTTTGTCGTAGGATACCATCGACTAGACATTGCCCACTCTTATGGAGACTGTATATGCTTCTTCTTCGAGAACACAATTTGTGCGAGAAAAAAGGAGAAGAAATTTATCACGAGAGTGTAGCACACTGTCCTTGGGCAAGAAGCATTTACATAGATGCGGCCGAAGTAGCGCCTCAACTTCTTACGCAGATTCAGGATATAATACGCGAAAAAGAATTGAGAATGCATGTCACGCCTGAAGAATTGAATATTCTTCGTGGATAATATATGTTTATTTGTTATATCTACTTGTAAGAAAACACAAAAATGTAATATATAATGTAATATATAATTTTACAGATATAATCACTATGAGTGATTATAAGTCTTTGTTTCATAAAAACTATCGTTAAAAGTTCTTTCTCAAACTGTAATCGATTAATTTAGATTGAAAGTTTTTCGTATACAATACAAAAGAACTAAAGCCCAGATCGGACGCATTTTGTCCATGGACAAAATGGATCAATCACGTTAAAGGCCGAAGCACAGACATAACGCATCATCATAAGAAAATCAACCAATCCAGCCTTCCATTTTCATCCCTACTTTTTGTTCTAGAAGGCTTCGATTGGTTGATTCTCTTATGTTTCATGCGTTATGCAAAAGTCTGTGCTTCGGCCTTTAAACGGTCGTGCGGCCTTTAACGGTGCGTAGAAGATATTTTTTGGACATTTGTGTGGTGCCTTACACCAATTTACAAAAACAGTTTAATTAACAAATAGACGCGGGATATAGAATTGACGTACGGATTTCTTCTCTATGCTCACTGAATCATTACAACATAGAATAGAATCATTTGCTTGCGATCATCAGCTTACTCTTCGACAACTACGGAACTGCATGTTATAAGATGGATCATAACAAAGATATAAGTGAGAAATTAAGCAAACCATCCAAATCTAAAACAAGAAAAGCTGATAAAAAACATAAAAAAGAAAAGATGTTTATATTATCGTCTAGTAACGTAAGTAGCTTATAAACAGATAATGTTTGCAAAATATACACTGTTTTTGTTGTATAAAGATTAATAATATAGGTAGTAGTAATTTTACATATATTTTTTATATTTTTACATTATACTTTTGATAAATTAATAAATTATTAAACTTTTTTAATACATTATTAATTTTTTTTTAGTCTTTAGAAGCTACACAATCAATAACAGAAAAAGTATCAAGTGCTAAAGAAGATAAATCACATAAAAAATATTATAATGATAAAAATAACAGAGATAAAATTTTTAGTCCTAGAAGAAGTTCAAGATCTAGATCTAGATCTAGATCTAGGTCTAGGTCTAGGTCTAGGTCTAGGTCTAGGTCTAAATGTAAATTACTAAGTAAAGAGTATATTGGAAAACATAGTACGTCTATTTACTCATCACATTGTATGGAACAAAAACAAATCTATCAAAAACCCAACGATAATGATGATTCTTATCAACAAAGTACATATAGATCTAGTAGTAATATAAAGAAGTGGAAGAAAAATAAGGATAATGAAACAAAATGTGACCACGAAAAATTTGAATCTGAATTAAAAGAAATAGATGTACAAAAAAGTAGTAGTAATATATGTGAGATGAGTGAAAGTTTGACAGAAACAGATATGAACAAATTAGGAGCAAAAATTATTAAAGCTGAGCTAATGGGTGATGATGTATGTCATTATTATTTTATTATTATTATTTTTTTATTGTTTTTTTTTGAATTAATAATGTTATTTATATAGGAATTAGCAGGTCAACTTAAAATCCAATTGGAGCGCGCAAGAAAACTTGCTGAGGATGCTGATATGTCTGAGCATCAAAAAGCACAAACCAGCTCAAAAGTAAAGCAAGAGAAATGGCACCTTGGTCATGCAATTAAAGAATATGAGAACTTGTCTAAAAATATAGATAATTGTCATTGGTGTCCTGATTCGAAAACTATGTTAAAGCATATGATTATTTCAATGGATTCTATGATTTGCTTAAGCCTTCCTGCTTATACCTCCTTGACTACTGGTCATTGTATATTAACACCTATACAGCATGTAGCTTGTCAGTTACAACTAAGTAAAGATGTATGGGAAAGACTAAAGGTATAAAGCATATTTTGTCATACATGTATAAAACACATTTCACTAAGAGCTGATTATTTTTAATCTATGTAAATTTATATGTAATTTATAAATCTACTATTTATAGGAAATGAAACAAAAGTTAACAGAAATGTTCATGAATGAAGATCTTTACCCGATATTTTTTGAAATATATAAAAAACGCCATAATTTTTTACATATGCAACTAGAATGTATCCCAGTGTCAAAAGAAATTGGTTACTCAGCACCGATGTATTTTAAGGTATGGAATTATAATGCAATATGATCTAAAGTAGTTAAATATTTTCTTAAAACTTTATAAGTCTTACATCGTCTGGATTATTTTTGTAGAAAGCTCTGTTAGAATGTGAAACAGAATGGTCTCTTAACAAAAAACTTATCGAGTTGAAATTAAAGGATATACGTCATTCCGTACCAAATGGTTTATCATACTTTATGGTAGAATTTGCTTCGCATCCTGGTTACGCACACATAATTGAAGATGAGAAAATGTTTCCGAAGAATTTTGCTCAAGTTGGTGTACAATCAATATTTTTCGTAAATTACATATTTTCAATCTTTTTAATGTAACTGTAAAAGTTTGTATTGTAATGAATTTTTGTTCAATCTTTTTTTTAGGAAATAATAGGTGGAATGTTAGATTTAGATTGTAATGTATGGCGAGTATCAAAACGACAAAGTTTTGACGAGCAAAGAATAAAAGTATTGGAGTTTACTAAACTATGGAAAAAATACTATGATGAACAATCATAAAATATGTAGTATATATTTGTAGAAAAACCATGTATGTATATAATCATGTATAGTTTTTTTTCTATTGTAATAAAATGCTACATTTAATTTATATTTTATATATATTAATTTTATATTTAATAACTATAAAAGTGTAATATTTTTACATCAATTTTCTTATTATTGCCAATTCAAGATTTAACTTCGTTCGTAAATCCTGCTACTGGCCATTTTGTTAAATAATTCTTTAGGATAGAAGGAAAAAAGACTAACACTTTGAAACAATTTCCCATTTTATCCTCGTCAATTATCATATGATATCCTGATTTAATTTGTTGTTTCTGAATAACAGAAGCATTTTGTAAGATCATTTTCAATCGTAAGTCAATGCCAAGACATTTTAAAAACTCTCTTTGTGTTATTGGACCAAATACAATTGATCTATTATCTTTCTCTGCTATCTCTTTCATTGACAGAAAGTCAACATCAGCAGTTAAATCTGCAGTACCAGGATCTAACAAAGGATCATGTAATTTGTGTTGGCGAAATGCGCGAAATGTATCAGTTTTTTCTCTTTCATGGCCATAATCAATCACAAGAGCAAATCCTCCACATTCCCATAAAAACTGTGACATGTAGTCTATTGTTACGAGACACTCTGGACTTATTTCTACGTGATCCCTTTCTTCACTTGGCTAAAAGATATTAATTTTATTTAATCTTTCACTTATAGAACGTAAAAACTATAACAATACACAGAAATAAAATGCTTACAGATAAATATGTTTTACAAGCAGGTGTCGGTATTTGAGAAAGTACGTATTGAAATTTTTCTTCTTTCGATCCCTGTATTATATCTATTAAAACTTCGCTCCAACCTTTGTCAGTTTTCTAAAATCCAATAAAAAAGTTTTGTAAGAAAATAAACTAATCATACACAAAAACATATTCAATCTATTATATCTGTTTTTTTACTTTTGTTTGTTACAGCTCAAGATGTCTCGCAGCGCATCGTAGATTTTAGGATTTTAAAAGAAAAAAATATTCAAAGTTCTATCTCTTAAAAGAATACCTCTATACTTCTATATATAAGTGCACTTAAAGTAAACAGAGTACAATTGTAAAATATATCAAATGGTTTTTTTTATTCGATACAAATTAGTATGTGAAACCTGCAAAAGCTTAAGTTTTTGACTCAATTTTACTGACGATTGACACAAAACTATTTGTTTATTTTTAAATAAGATATACAAAATTTTATATCATTTCTCAAGTGATTTTTTTTTATTTTTCTCAGTTTTGAAATCATAAAATTCAAGATAGGAGATATTGACAAGCTTTAATTTACTATCAAAATATCTATAAATATTTCAAATTTAATACCTGGAATTTATGTATTGGTAAAGCATCAAAAAACTCATGTGCAATAAATACACTGAACTTTTTCGGGACATCTTTGATGGAATAATACCAATATATCTTTAATCCCTCTTTTGTAACACCTTCTTTATAATGCATAATAGAACCAGTTTTGTCTTCACTAATATCTGATTCACAGTTTCTGCTTTTTATGCATAATTTCTCTGCTTGAATTGTAGATAAAATAGGACTAATTTCAATTAAATGAACTGATATTTTATCTAAAAGATTCAGCTTCTTAAATACCTGCAAGTGTTCTTATTATTTTTACAAGTTTACATATGTTTATTTTATTAATAATGAAATATTACAATCATACCCGTAAGATATCATTAGTTAAAGTACCTCTTCCAGGACCTAGTTCTACGAGCTGAATAGAATCTTTGCTAATTTTCCTCCACTCATTAATTATCCAGATTGCTAACATCTATCAATAATGTGTGAATATATGTTTAAAATTTCTAAACTTAATGACTGTACACACATAGGAAAAGATAAATTTATAATAAAAATGCTTGAACCTCGCCAAAAAGTTGACTAATTTCTGGAGAAGTGATGAAATCACCTCTATGTCCAAAAACATCTTTTGTCATGTAATATCCAACGGTGGGATGAGTCAAAACTGCTTTCATATATTCAGCAAGTGTTATGGGACCACACGCCAATATTTTTGCATACAACTGTCGATAAAGATCTGATTTTTTCTTATCTAAATAGTTTGATGAACATAACATCTTAATTAAAATCAAGTTATTATATTGCTTTATCCTAATATTTTTTGCTTTAACATTGTTTATTTTCATGAAAGTTTGTGATAATTGCGAAATTCTGATCATATTTAAATATTTAAATATGAAACAAATCACACACAATCACACAGTGCTATCCAGCCATGTATGCCAATTTGTTGCATTTGTGGCTCGTGGACTGAAAGAGTATTCCATACGCCATGCCAGCCATGTGCGGTGCGTACAGTCAGAGAATCCTGAGAGCGACCATGTCCACAAGAGAATGTGTAATCACTTTTCCGTCCCGTAAACTAGCGCATGTCCACGAGTGGTACACATTAAAACTACGCAGCCAGTCCACGAGCGACACGTCGGTGCACTATGTCCACAGCGTGCGGTTCTATTCTGTGCTATGTGCACGAGTTTAAATGGTCACTTTCTTTAAGTGTG